TTGCTGTGTTTACTGTAACGCTAAGCGGGACTGGAGTCAATGGGTGCACATCCATGTTAATGACCCCACTGTCACTTACAGAACAATCTGCCCAAACATACATGTTTGTCTGCTGCAGCACAGTTTGTTTTGGGACCCGCGGGAGTGTTTACCCGGGTAGGCTATGGAATTCCAGGTCAAGAGAGGAGTGCGTACAGAGAAAACCTATGACTGCATTGATCTCGATACTGACATCAAAGAGCGCCTGAGCCATTCAGAATGCAGACTGAAAACCAAATATTTATCTTGAAGTGACGTATGTGTAGTAGACGAAGACAGGAAAGAACAGAATTTGGCAGGTATGCCAACACGTGTGTTTACTGTGTACTGTAATGTGTTAATGCATGTGTGCAGGTGGTGTGTGGGTGGCAGGGAGGCTAAAGAGTTTTTTGGTATGATGCACTATAATCTCAACTTTACCATTTGTATTTGTACCATTTTGTTTGACCAGCAAATAAATTGCTCAATCCAAGGCAAGGTTAAGGATTAGGACTATGCCCATTCCCACCACCCTTTTGCTAGCTTTCTGTCCCAAAACATATAATTTGGGAATCAGGTTAATGTATGTTAACATTTTTGTCTCTTTATGTGGCCATGTGATAGATTGGTGACATTCAAGGTGAAGTTCAAGGCCTACCCTGTTTTTGCCTGTTGTCAACTAGAATTGGCTGCATTTCCCCAAGGACTCATAAGGAATTTATTAGGCGACATTAAATAAAAGATTAAAAACTCCCAACAAATACAAGTAAAGTATAACAGACAAAAACTGACATTTATGTTTTATCATGAATGATTCTTGATTGTCCAGTTCTCCTGGGCTGATTATTAAACTGATTAAATTAAACATTTGCCCAGAGAAATCGATATGGTACAGTAGAACTAAACCACTATCTCTGTAAGAAGATTTGCTAATACATAGATAGTGCCATCTGTTCCTCTTTCTGTTGCAGATCATCTTGTGCCAGGGCTAGTGTCCAGTCAACTGAGTGAGCTTCTCCACGCTGGTCCCACCTGGCACAACTGTTCCTAAACTCACTCCTACAGAAGGCCTGAGCAGCATGGAGGACGACATGACTCATTTATAAATACGATGGTACCGTGAAACACCGTCAGCCTCTAACAATTACAGACCAGACAGCCTTAATGATGTATTAATGAAAAATGAATGCTGCAGCTAAAGTTCATTTCAGCCCAGCCACGTGTGCACTGGAACAACCTGAATCTCACTGGGTCAGGAAGATGTCTCACAGTGGAAAGTTTATGACACTAACAAATTTCCGCTTCACTTAGGCAATACATGAATCCTTCAATATTTATGGCAAGCCATTTAATCCCAGTCTGCTGGTAGGATATCTGAAAGTCAGCTAATTTCAATTTATGGTCAACAGTTTAAAACTGCTTTACTAAGTATTAGCTATGAAGCTGTCAAAAATAATGTGGACTTCAAAGAAAATGGCAAATATGGCAATGAATTAGCCACAAAACATATAGTAGTAATAAAAACAATAGGACAAATAGCTAATATATCAAGATAAATAAAACTAAGCCAATAAATGACTGAAATCATAAACTTTGAAGCAACAATTACAATACTGACAAACAAATCTTGAAGAAAATAGCAAAAGGATGTAAAAAGATAAACTGGGCAACATGCATTACATTTAGCCAAACGAAGCAAAAAAAAAAAAAATCAACTAATGTTTTACCACAGAGACACACACAATTTTAACAATAAAACTATGGTCTGGTCAGAAAGAAATACGCATTTGACCAAGATGCAGCAATGATCCAATGTTTTTTTAAATGACTGCTATGAATACATAGTCCGCTTGTATTTACTTGTACTTGTATTTTTGTCTTCACTGAAATATTGTAACAAGTATACAGTGGATGAAGTTCCTGTTCTCGTACTTTTAATTGGAACAAATATCATGGTTTGTGAAATGTATTTTCATAAAATATGATAAAACAATTTGCTTAGGCCACAGTACCTAAAAAAGTGAAATCATATTTTGCTGGAAATCTACAAACAGCTGATTCAGCCTAGGCAAAAATAGAGTCAGAAAATCAAATACAGAGGACTTTGACGCTGATTAATTAATTATGGCTCCATGCAACAAGGGGCCATTTGAGAAGAAAGACATTCTTAGCAAATCTCCATTTCACATTGTACTGTTTACCATTCTGTCCTCAGCTTGCCCTGACTCATAAGTAAGCTCATGCTGAAGAGACAATGTGCCATAGCCCCCCTGTGTGGAAGGAAGGGGATCTCTATGAATAACTCCCCTTTGCAGCAGTGAATGGCACTTTTCTTTCCCACAGTATTACTCAGCCTACACCCCCAACATGGCAAGATAAGCAGTGAGCCCAGGCGGTGGCTGAGTGCCTCTCTATAAGCTGCCAATCACACAGAAACTGTTTGATAGACAGAACACTGGCAAGAAACTTGACTGTTTAAATACAATTAAGGGACAAAATTATGTAGACATTTTGCATTAGTTTATTTTCAATCAGATATTAAATTATTTCATGTATGACTAAAAGTTATTACTATAGTTTGTCTTTTAAAATACTCTAAATGCAGGAACCCAGTTTAGGGTTCGAAGTTGAAACCTTAGAGAACCACTGTGAATGTCATCGGTCTTCAAGGTCATTTCACACTGAAAAGGTTACAAAGGTTCATCCAGACTGGCTCAGGTTTTTTTTTATGACAATCACCTCTTCTCCAAAAGGCTTCTTCACTTTGCATTTCCTTCTGAACATAAGCAGGATATGTATAGATAGTAATACCAATCTTACTGCCAAGACCTGGAGGAACACTTGTAATTAAAAAATTCTCTATGCGAGAGAGGTCTATGCTATTCAGGAAAAATCTGTCAGTGGCATAAAAAAAGAGAACGCAAGTCTGTTTAAACTGCCCAGAAAACATTTAGGACTTCTGCTGGTGGAAGACGAAGAGGTGAAAGTTTAAGACTAATAAGACTTTCCCCATGTTCGGAAAAGGAAGGAGGAGGCATGGAACCCAAATAACACCATGAATTGTGATAGAACAAAATAAATGAAATTAAAGAAACGTTAAAGACCTTAGCTAGATCTTGGTTATCATTTTCCAGCAACATAAGTTGCACTTTAATACAGGTATGAGAACACATCCAGGATCATATCATTAATAACTTTCATCTTAATTGCAGTGCAGAGTAGAGAATATAAAGTAGTTGTGTTTAACTGCATTACCATGAAACCTTTCCGTGTGATTGTGACTTTGCTCTGCACATAAAATGTAAATGATTTACAACTGTAGTTAATGATGCCTTTGTCTTTAACTGCCCTCCACTGTATAATAACCTCCCTTTTTCTGCACACTAAACCTAGTGAGAGCCATTCAAGTTAAGTGAATATGGGCATGGTCATGACATGGCAATTTTTATTAGTTATTAGCTAATAAACCAAAGTTTATTAGGTGTGTATAATTAATGAATGAATGCCTTTCTGCTAATCACAGGGCCACATTTTTTGTTTGACTTTTTTTCTACAATAGGATTTGTTCCTGATAAGTCTTTCAGCACATGACTTGAGCAGACAGCATTTAGAGAGAGGCAAACCTCTCCAATCTGCCTTACCACAAGAACGAAAACTCTCATCCATGTCACCGATGTATTGACAAACGCCTGGTTTCCAAAGCAAGGTTCACGCCCTTTAATGTTGTTCACTGAGAGGAACTGTCCCACAACATTTAAAGTCTCCTCTTGTGTCATACTGTGGGTCCAGGACATGTGAACCAAATGGCATCTGGATCTGCCATGGAGGTCCACAAATGAACAACAAGTTACCATAGGTTTCCATTTACTATAAAGTGTATTCACAGACCCTCTGACTCTGTCAAACTACGCCTGAACTTAAGGCGCTTCTGTTAAGGAACTCTGCTCAGTCAGGCAAATCATATAAATAACATACTACAGGGAGAAGTCAGATGACCGTGTCAGGTCACGGCATCAATTGGTCAAATTACTGCTTTGCCACAAAGTGAATAGAAAACAATGAAGGGATAGTTTCACAAGACCATGGAGTAGGGAGCAAGGATAAGCAGTCACTGAACTCGTACTGAATATCAGGGTCAGAATTGAGTGGTGACTTGGGGCAAAATGCCATTAAATTTCAGAAATTTACACCAGATGCTCTAAGAGCCTCGTTTGTGAAGTATGGTTTACTTGCAAAAAATATAGGCGAAGCTTCCTGTAACATACTTGACTGCAATATTTCATAGCCATGCATAATGAGTAACTAAAACACAACAAACAATCAAGTTTGGTAGCTAAAGAGTAATCAAAACAGCATATTAGTTTAAATAAACACAAACTGCTAAATAGCAACAATCTAATAGAACATTAGAACACGAGAAGCATGCACAGGCACTGAGGCATTAAAATCTGTTGACAATGCAAATGAGAAAAAGCTTATCTGGTGTTTTGTTGAGCCACAGGTTTGCCATTTCTTATGATATTGTGCTATTTTATGTTAGCCAGCAGAACAGTTTAACTTGTTTGCTTGCAGCAAACAATGGAAAAAGAGGGGATCTACAACTGAGCTGTGCTTACAGCACATTCTGCTGGACCAAATGAGTAAATACTTTAGAAAGGCAAAAGTGTATCTGAATAGAACAGATATGGGAACTTTACATTAAGAGTCAAATATATCGCTAATATCTAACCCTTGTTGCTTTTATCAGTTCCAGTCAAGAATATTTATATTTTTTCAAAGAGTTTTAGCCTTTTTTGGTTGGAAAGTAAAACGCAGTGAATTGTTTGAAATGATAATAAATAGTGTAACACAATACTGTATGTTATATTTACTTGTAATTGTAGGAGGTATGTGGAAGTTCTGCTAAGAACATGACTGTGGATGCTGAAGTTCTGGGAGATGTTCTGCAGGTAAAAGTTACAGAAACTCAGCACGAGTCTTACCTTCCATCCTGCAGAGCTGTTGCTGTCCCCTTTATCCTTGAAATATGGCACACTCTTCACCATCCAGTCATAGATCTGGGACAGAGTCAGACGTTTTTCGGGAGAACTTTCAATAGCTTTGGTGATGAGGTCTGCATATGACATGTTCCCCCACGCGTTCCGCCGTGAGGAGCTGCTCTTCCTCTGGGCAGCAGCGGCGGCAGCTGCGGCCGCAGAGGACGAAGAACCAACCGGTGAGGAGAGAAGAGCCACCTGCTGCTGCTGCTGCTGGTGGTGATGGTGCTGATGCTGCTGGTGATGCGGGAGTTGTTGCTGATGTTGCTGCTGTAGAGGTTGTTGCTGCTGGACGCAGTTCTCCTGACACTGAAAACCGTCAGCGCACAGGAGGACGGGCTTGTGCTCCTCCAAGTCCTCGCTCTCCTCCAACAGACTAAGGTTGTTGATGAAGTCGGGGTTACCGGCGGGCTCCTGCTTCACGGAGGGCACCGGTGATGATGTGTTAGAATCGCCCGGGTTAACGAACTCCGGCCGGGGCAGGGGCCAAGTGCAGGAGCGCGGCCGCGAAAGGGGTTCAAAATCCGGGTCAATGTCCACCAGGTGTGGCTGATGCTGCTGCTGCGCCGCTTCCGCCATAGTCGAGTGTTGACGGAGCTTTTCAAAAAGTTCTTACAATGTCATGAAAATGTCACTCCTTATAGAAGGAAAAAAAGTTCGCCTTTTAAATGTGTCCGTGAAAAACAACAGTCAGTCTGGACGCACCGAGTCTGCACTGAGTCTTACATCCCAGACTAATGACAAAACAAAACACTCAACTAAAATAAATAAAAGAAAGTTTCTTTCTATTAGAAATCCTTTCAGTAGGAGAAAAAAAGTTCTGTTGTTGTTGTCATCCGCTGGTAGTGATGTTGTTGTGCTCCTCTCTGCGCCTCTGTGAATGTGTGTTCAGTGAGTGGACGTGTGTATGAGGGCTTTACTGGAAGTATCACTGACACCGCCCACACACATGATTGACAGCAGACGAGCACCAATGACACGAGTTCAAAGATGTCGGTGGAAAAAATAAAATAAATAAACATGGAAGACAATTTTAAAAACCTGTCCACCCTTTGAAAGCGCCTTTCTGAAAGTAAAAAAAGAGACTCAAATTATGAGCAGTTAAATTAAAGGGACACTCAACTGAGAGGGAGTAAAGTGAAAATAAAAACGAATTAGGAGTCATCATAATGAGATCATGAAGTGGAATGATAGTGAGAAAAAAGTTGTTAAAAACGGGAACACCGTGTACTATCATAATCACAGGCTTAATTGTCAACTTAAATTCTTAAGTTTGATAACAGAACGATATTTCTTTTAAATTGATGCACAAGAAGAGGAAGTAGAAGGGTGTAGTAATGCAGTAGTAGTTGGTAATAGTGGTAAATGTGTAATAATAAATACTGAATGTTAGTTGTTTGAAATAATTATTGCCCGCATCCAGAAATTCTCAACCGTGTATTTTTTAATATAAATCCGTTGAATAACTTACAGCTTAAACTTTTTATACTCTACTGTTGCCATAAATTAAATGCTGGAAATACATTTGGGACTCTCGGTGAATTTAACTGGGTCGTAAAATGTTCTCTTTGGGGGGGGAAAAAAAGCCTATTTTGGAGCTTAATGTTTTAAAACTCAGGTAAAGATGCTGAAGCTTGTCGTCAGCTCATCTGTGGGACCGGAGAAAAACTCGGTTGTTCTCTTTACTATATTGACATCATGTGGCAGTGTGTGCATATTACAGCCTGATCGAGTAAAATATCATCATAATTCTTTCAGTAAGAGCCTGAGATTAAACAGTTGATCTTGCGGCAAAGCAGGAAATCAATAATAATTCAGTGGTCGTTTAGCATCTGAAGCTGAGATCTTCAGATTTTACTCCCACATGACGTTCACCTTTTCTTTTAACAGAGTGCTCTTTTTGGCTCCTGAGTTTTTAGGCAAGTTCGTGATGTTATACATAATAAGACCAGTCAGGCTAAATCAGCTTAGACTGGCTCGAGCTATTTTAAAAGCTAATTATTTAGCAATTTTAATTATTTGTTATCTTAAGAAGCTATTGCACCTTTAAACGTGTTTCAACACATGTTTAATTTCTAACAGTGTTTGAAACCATTTAAAAATATTTACCGTGTACCTAAAATTTTGGGCGATAAAAATCTGCTTTTGATCCTGATTTTATTTAATAGTTTATTTTCAATGTATTTAGGGTAAAATGTGTAGTAAGATAAATCCATGTAATGAAAGCAAATGCTATTTTACAAAACAGTGGTTTCTTAAATGTAAGGAATATTATTAACCTTATTAAGTAAGTGATAGATAGGTCTCGTATACCTATCTACTACTTTACTTTTTACTGTACTGACATTTCGTGAGTGTTTGTAGGTATCACAACCAAAACAAAAAGCATGCAATGATTTTTTTCCCCATAATTGAAGTGTATTGCTATTATTATTATTTATTTGACCCTTATATTATTATTAACATCGTAACCGATGTACTTTCCTAAATGCTTTCGCCGTGCGCACTGAGCACTGCGCAGCTATAAAACTGCGCAGCTATAAAACCGACTGGTTCCTTGTTTCTGCTCAAGACTTAAGGAAGTACTTCAAGCGGCCACGAACTCCCGGTGAGTTTTTTAGTGAATGTTTTACGCTTGACATTTCTCGAGGTTATTTCTAGTCGTGCTCTGCCGTGTATTGGGACGCTTCACAATATGAACCCTCGGTGATGAGCACATTAGAAAACAGGTAAGTCCAGACCTGTCATACAGACATTTTTAGAATATAATCCTCCTGCCCCAGTAGCTAGTATTTGAGTATGACAACGTTGGACGAATAGAGGGACCCACTTCGATCTGTGCACAGACTTTTTCATTTGTAAATGTAACTGCACTGTACTAAAATCGTTACAGTTTCTTCGTTTTACTTTCATTGTAAAGGATCTCCAAAGATTATGGCACCGCACCCAGTACTGCAGGCAATCATTGACTTCACAGCTGGAGCTGTAGGTAGGTTATTACAGTGTGTGTGGCATTGTTTTAGATGTTTTAATGCTGGTATTGTTTTTTTTCTCTGCACAAGGATACATGGAGATTTAATAACAATATCTGTAAATATTCTAAACATGATTCTGTTACCATTGTAAGTGGTATCAATCACCAACTCTAACATGAAACTAAGAAAATGTGACTTTGGCTGTACCTTACGTCTCCTGCGATTTGTCCTGAGGTGGAACGGCCTGTGTGTTGAGTGGTCAGCCGTTTGACACTGTAAAGGTGAAGATGCAGACATTCCCTACCATGTACCGTGGATTCATCCAGTGCTTCGCGGAGAACTACAAACAGGTGGGACTCTGTGGTCTGTACAAGGGAACAACTCCGGCACTCCTAGCCAACATCACTGAGAATGCAGTGCTCTTCCTAAGTTATGGCCTCTGCCAAGACGTAGTCAGCTTCCTGTCTGGTATGGACAAAGGATCAGAACTCAGGTTGGATGATGTATTTATACTTGTATTTGTGTTTTATGGATGTGAATCTACAGGTGGTGGTGAGGAGCACCCCAGTGTCTTACCCATCCATACATTGTGTATTTCAATTGTACTAAAAGACGACAGACATTATTCCAGGATATCAAGGGTCACTTGTAAAGGTTCCTCTGCGAAATAACCTTAATGTCTAACAGACTAGGGCATTAGGGGAAAATAGTATTTTTATTTCTCAGACCCCCATATTATATATTATTTGTGCATTATGCATTCTAACCACTATATTGAGATATTTGATGCCTGTAGTTGTAAGGCACAGCATGGCAAGGATTTTAGGAGGCAAATAATTAAAAAACAAACACCTTCATGCAGGCTGAGGAGATTCTAATTCACATAACACTTGTCCTGATCAATTTGTTTTCTCATCAGTGACTTACAGAAAGCTTCAGCTGGGTCTTTAGCCTCCATCTTCTCTGCAATTGCCCTGTGTCCCACAGAGTTGGTCAAGTGTCGCATGCAGGCCATGTATGAAATGGAAGCATCTGGGAAGATCTCCAGTGGACAGAGGAGGTTGGTTCCAATCACTGGAAACATTCAGGATGAAGGCTGTTAGAGTTACAGTGCTGTGTTGTTTTTCTTGTCTGACCTCAGCACAGTTTGGACAGTAGTGAAGACCGTTCTGAAGAACAATGGGCCTCTGGGTTTTTACCAGGGTCTGACGTCGACCATTGTCAGGGAGATGCCAGGATACTTCTGTTTCTTTGGGGCCTATGAGCTGTGTCGCTCCACATTTGCCAAGCACATGGGCACCGATAAGGAAGGAATAGGTACAGTATGATAATGTAGTGCATTGTATGTAGGAAACTTTGTCTTTGCTGTGATAAACCTATTGCTGTCACCTTGTTTAGCTATCTTTGGCTTTATTGAGGCCTCGTAATTTTAGGAATTCTATTCAGTTTGTATGATTTCTTATGAATATCTTTCAGCTATTTCCTTGATATATATAATTACATTTTATTTACCTTTTTATTTGTCACCTGGTGCAGTTTTGGATACAGTTCAAATAATTTGGTTATCTTTATTCTTTCTTTGCTGGTTTCAGGTATTCATGATGTATTTTACATAATTTATACTGTAGCTTACCTTACCTGCTCCATTATAATATATTTTATGAGAACGTAATGGTGTCACATGAAGATGAGCTCATTAGCAATATACCATCTTATTAAGTGATAATTTAGATATAAGAAACTGGATTTAATACATTTGAAGTTAAACACAAATGTACCAGTGGGAGATTTTCAGTTGCTTTGTGAATAACTCTCTGTTCTTTGCAGGTATTCTTCCACTCATGTTCAGTGGTGGATTTGGAGGGGCTTGCCTCTGGTTGGTCACTTTTCCCTTAGACTGTGTGAAGTCCAGGATCCAAGTGTACTCTTTAGCCGGAAGGCAGGAGGGATTCATGAGGACTTTCCTGGGAATTGTACGCACTGAAGGTCAGACAGGGTGTTCATCTGATTTTGTCTGAATGTGGCTGTCTAGTCTAACAACCTTGTTTATATGTTTATATATATATATATATACACATACACACCATTATGTTTTAAACTACACTTTTATATTCTTAACTTAGCTATGCTTTATTATATTTATTACTACAGTAACAAGCTATGCTATACTTTATTATACTATACTGCTGAATCTTTCTTTTAAATATTCCACTCCCGGGGTGTCGACGTGTTTCACCTCCGTAGGGAAATGTGTCTTTGACTGGGGTGTCGACGTGTTTCTTGTTACCTAGCTGAAACACCTCCGTAGGGAAATGTGTCTTTGACTCTCGTCCTTTTTTTCCCCCACAGGTTTCACTGCTCTTTACTCTGGTCTTACTCCTACCATGATACGCACCTTTCCTGCCAACGGAGCACTGTTCCTGGCCTATGAGTGCAGTCGCAAGTTCATGATGGAGAAAGCCAGCATGTGAGGTGGAGGAAACCAACCTGCGCTTCGTGTCAGCAGACATCATCGACTGGCTCCATTATCTTGTTAACCAGGAAGATGACAGACTCTGGAAGGAAATAAAGGGACATGAGAAAAAAATAAAAACTAAACAATATCCCTGCACTGTGTGAACTTCTAATCAATGTTTTTAACTGTTGCTGCTGTAAAATATGGGGATGATTTGAAGTAACCTTGAGAAACCAGAGCATGGAGAGGAGGAGACAACAGTGTTTTTATTAAATGGTATTTATATTCTGGAAAAAAACCTTCCAACCTCTTAATATTGCAACATATGTTGGTCTTTCTTCTATCCTAGTTCTCCAAAACATAGAAATTGATTTTCTTTTTAAATACTGGAACAAGAAGTTTATTAGAAAAATGTCAAAGTGGTCAAATACCACTGTCAGTGACAGTAGCTATGTATATATATTGTCACCAGTAATATGAATGTCTGGGGGTAGGAGGGCAGTAGAAGCATAGAGAGTGATATTTGGTTTGACTCATCCAATACCACAGCTAGCATTTTAAAGCAAGGCTGCAAACACTCTGGAAATCCCACCAGGACATGGTCAAAGAAACAGAGTTAGAGTGCTGAATGACTGTATGTATCAGACTCGTCAAGCAGTTCTGTGGGCTGTGGAAGAGCCAGCAACAGTGTTGTCAGATGGGAATTGACTAATTATTCTTCTACTGGCTAATGCAAAGTGATAAAGTGGCTTTTTGAAGCACTTTCACCATATCAGGACATCATTCCTTAAATCAAAATAATACCAATATACTGGAAGTACCAATGTTGCCCATGTACACAAAATAAAAATAAGTGCAAAGCCACGTTAAAATTTCCATTCGCTAATTTTAAAAATATATTTTTATTCACAAGTAAGTTTCTAGATTTAAAGAATTTGTAAGGTGTGAATGTGACACCATGCAGCATATACACACATATATCAGAGCAGCAGACGGCTCTCCTGTGTCACCAATTGTTAATTCATTACAGTACTGCACTCAGGAGGTGTCAGTATCCTCCTGCATGATCATGTAAGATCACTGTTCAGGAGTCAAGTTACATGTTGGAATACATACAGTATATACCAATCGAGAACATAAATGTGTGTGTGTTTCTGTGTGTGTGCCCGTTTGTGCATGCATGTACGATTAGGGAGGGGGAGTGCCGCACCCAGTAGGATAAGGAGACGAGTAAACAAATGCAGCGTTCTCTTCATCACACAGTCTGTGGCAACGTTTACTCATGATCTCCACTACGTGCAGCACGGTAGAGATGGTGACACAGGGCAAACTCGAGATCAGCACCTCGGAGAACATTGAAGGTAAAGGACTTTTCATTCTTCTGCAACGCTGACAGGGAAAGAAAATGACTGATGCCGAATATTATGTTAAAAGGTCAAATGTGCTCACCTTGCAGGGGGCACTGTAGACACTGATTAAATGTCAGCCCTTATAGCCAGAGTAGACTGTGGCAGTATTATTGTTAATAAATTATAATAAATTATTGCCTCAAATCTTGTAACCAAAAATCCTGTCTCAAAAATGGTAAAGAAAACACCTCCCTGTTGGACTGCATCAAGTCCACAATCCCAGGATGGCTTCCTTTAGAAGCCACACAAACTTTAGTTGGTCTTTAGTTACAACCGGTTCTTCAGGGGAAACATATTGCTGATGTGGCCCGCAGTGAAAATGAGTTTAACGCACCTGGTTTAAGGGTAAGGGTATCTTGCAAACCTCACAAAATTCCCATGAATCTTTTTTTTTTAGTTGCTCAACTGTTTGCTTTGTTGTTTTCATTAGTCATTTTAAAAATATTACAGCCATATTTTTTGCAAGTCCAGTGATTTTGTATATCTTTAACATTTCTTGTAACATCACTGATTTTAAATGAGCAGCTCAATAGCTTCATGCAGAACTATGCGACTCAGCCAAATATGGAGTGGTGTGACTTGCCTCTGAGATTAATTATGCATGTGGATATTCTACACCTTGCTGCCTGATAGCACAAAGGCACCCTGTTTTGCGTCTTCGTTGGTATCAGGCAACATCTCAGAGGACAGCGTTACTGCCTATTTGTGTGACTATTAGATAAATGCAATAAAATTCACACTGTAATAAAGCACTTACACAAAGAATAGGCTGCTGCTGAGGGTATTACACAGAGTCCAATGTCTGTTTATACATTAGCTCTTAAAATACTTCCTGATCTCGTTACACAGATAAAAACTCAGGAAAACTGGGATGCTGCGGCTGGCTGCTGGTCATTATATCAGTTTTGCTTCTTTTCTGCACGTTCCCGTTGTCATTATTCATGTGTTTTAAGGTAAGACTAACCCAACTGACGGAGAGATGGAGCAGAAACTCCACTATATACAGTATATTGCATGAATTGTGTTTTATATTAAACTTTCCATGTACCTTGTTATTTTGTCGTCAACTAGTTTAAATTATACATATTCATATACTGGTATTTCCATTTTAAAGGTGTAGATCCTGTTTCTTTACCTCATTCATTAAATCTCATTTAGATAATAATATATGCAGTAATCATTTCTATGAACGAACACAGTTTGTAAAACTTACATAATGTTCTGTTCAAGAAGACAAAGAGAGATGTTAACAAGTAATCTCCAAAACCCTCTCACCATAAAATGAATTTCTCAATGTCTTTCTAACTGTTTGTGTTTTTAACATCCAGATAGTACAAGAGTACGAACGAGCTGTCATTTTTAGACTCGGCAGGATCGTAGACAGGAAGCCAAAAGGACCAGGTTAGTCATGTCTTAGTTTTATATATGCAATATAATGTGTGTATATATATATATAAAGAGAGAGGGGGGGGGGGGACTTGAGAGAGAATTAAATTATTAGATGTTTCAGTATTTTCAACTAATTTAGATTTGTTTTGTGTTGTTCTGCCAACAATCATACTCAGAGAATCTCTATTTTAGATTTGTTTTGTGTTGTTTTGCCAACAATCATACTCAGAGAATCTCTGCAGTAGGACAGCTTTGAATATGTTGATTTATACATAATTTATACCTGTTGTTACTGTGTTCTTTTCAGGACTTTTCTTTGTCCTGCCATGCACAGATGTTCTTGCTAAAGTTGATCTCAGGACCATATCCTTTGATATCCCTCCACAAGAGGTACTTTTATTGTTGTTTTTTTTTACATCTTCTGTAACACTATTCACAATCCAACAACCGAAGTTCCAAAATGCGTGCAGTGGCAACAGTGTTTTGAACCATCCATACACTACCTATACATTATTTTGACATCATCATAGCTAAACTGACCCATCACTTGGCACAAATAAACGTCTCACAAATAATAAAATGTCTTTAAGCTATTTTTGAGACACTTGTCTGGTTCTACTATAGTGTGTCTGATCTGACCTAGTCTTGTATCTAACTGAACAATCTAACATAGGGTTAAAAAAATGACACTTTTGCATAGACCACCTACTAATACATAAGACCTTAATTTGTAGCTTTCTGTCAAATTCTGACAATGTTTTATTTTAAAAAAAGGACCACCTCTGGCCTTAGATTATGTTTGAGTGCAAATCACAAACAAGATCTACATTCGCAAATCTGTTTGTGTCTCATAATTGGTTTGCAGATCCTGACCAAAGACTCAGTTACTGTGTCTGTGGATGCTGTCGTCTTCTTCCGCATATACTGCCCGATATCAGCTGTGGTCAATGTGTCCAACGCTCCTAATTCTACACGCCTGCTGGCCCAAACTACTCTGAGGAATGTACTTGGTACCAAAAACCTGGCAGAACTGCTCTCTGACAGAGAGGGAATCTCTCTAAGTATGCAGGTCAGAGTTTTGTGTCATTTAAAATTGTTTATAAGAAAGAATGAAAATATATATGTATATATGATATTTGTAATTCATGGGAAGCTGGGTAAATGTACTTCTGATTTTAATAACAGATTTTCAGACATTGAAAAATGTCCAACCCTGCACCTTTAGCAAAGATTAGGATGCAGAGGTGGTCAGTTGCTCACTAAACAGAAGAAAGAAGAAATGTTGAATAGTTGGGAAAAAACTATAAAAGACATATCTTAAAAACAGCCACAAAAGTTCAATAGTAAATAGTATTTAACAATAGCAGGAAAAAATGGTTTTAAAATTGATTTTATAACACTCAAAGTCATCAATAAACGTAAACAAACAGCATATTATCATAGCGACGATTAAAAAAGCCAAAAGAAGTCAAAGTTAAGCAAAGCCTTGACTAACTAACCAACACAAGCTTTAAATACCAGCTAAACTCAAGCAATAAATGCTAGGAAAAATGCTTTACCAGAAAATTTGCCAACAAGAAAATCAAACACAACCAAAGAGATAAATTCAGCAATGTAGTCAGAATACAGTCAGACATGTACTTGAAAACATATCCAGATATTAACCCCAAATTGTAAAACAACAGCAAAAAATAAAGAATAACGTAATTTTCAACACCAACGCTCTTAAAAGTGAGTAAAACAAATAATAGTAAAACATGTTAACTTAGCCAAAAGAAGACAAGAGAACGCATGGTTAGCAAACACGAGCCACAACTTTAGCATCCTATAGCTAAAACAACTAGCTTGAACACAGGTTAGCAGGAACATACATGGCAGAAAAGAATATACTAATGAATGAAAACCAAATATACATGAATATAAATGTAATTAAAACAAAGCTAATCTTGGGAATATTACATTATTTGCTAAACCATATCCAAGGGAAGTAGCTAAAAGCACTGTCGTTCACTATTTAACAAGTTAAAAGAAAAAAAGTGACGAGATTCAGCATTTCAAGAAAGACGCACATTCATTCAGCCCTGCTTGAATGAATCCACAATAACATCATATGTCTACAGAAAACCATCAATATTATGCAGAAATGTAGTATTCGCGTGTCGTTACTGCCTAGGTAACTAGTGTATCCAAAGCTAACACATACTGTGCATCAAAAAGCATGAATAATAACACAATAAAACGTCAATATTATACAAAAAAGACAATGCATTTTACTCACCACAACTTCCGACTATTTGTACACAAAATCCACCCTCATCTCTTTCCTTGAGAAGAGTTTGGTTTCTTCGTGGTACAGAGTACCCCATTTGTTGTAGTCCTAACAAGTCCATGCTAAACGCTGGAAGTTCAGTATGTCCTGTCGTATTTATGTCATACGTTTTAAATCGGTTCAGTGGTGACAATGTCAGTTCGACAGAAGCAATGGACACAGACAAAACTTAACTTCCGCGCGCAAAAGTCGCTAGATTCAGTTTGCTAGAGTCGAGACCATCCAATCAAATCACTCAAATCGCTAACGTGACTGTGGGCCTGCAGGAAGGCCTTGTTGTGGCCAACTCAAAATCCGATTGGTTAAAGAAGGCAGCTTTTATCCCCTTCTGATTGGATAAAACAACAACTAACAAAACCAGGATTTCACAAATGTTTATGTACTACTATGTAGCACATTTATAAGGGGTCTAATGAATATGTCGCCTGTTAACACAGGAATGGATAGCTTCCAATGACATGCAAAATGCAAAACAGATCAACATACTGAATTAGTGATTTTACAATTAACCCTTAATAAAGACTTTTTTTCTCAGCTCAATGGTCAATTTACTGCATAGTATGAAATATATTGGGGCTTAAGAGTCATGTGTCATTAAAGTTAGTAATTTATTTTACCTGTATGAAGATGTCCTGTAAAAGTGAGCTATTGGTCACACTGAATTCTTCATGTATGTAATTTGTTTATATGTGATATATACTATTATATATTATATAGACCTATAGAAGGATGAGACAAATTAGTCCATAATCTATTCCACCTATGATTAATGTCTGAATAAATATATATTCTCTGTCATCTGATTGTATTCTCCTGTTGTTAAATCCCACCTGCAGGAATCTCTGGATGATGCCACTGATCCATGGGGAATCAAGGTGGAGCGTGTGGAGATCAAGGATGTGAAGTTGCCGCAGCAGCTGCAGAGGGCCATGGCAGCAGAGGCAGAGGCCAGCCGAGAGGCCAGGGCAAAGGTGACAACAGGCTCAAGCTCCACTTTCTACTCACATCTTTTAATCGCTCACAAAAGTATCATGTTTTTCTTCTTCTGTCTTAGGTTATAGCAGCAGAGGGGGAGATGAATGCGTCTCGGGCTCTGAAAGAAGCCTCTCTGGTAATTGCTGAGTCTCCCTCTGCTCTGCAGCTGAGATACCTGCAGACGCTCAACAGCATCGCAGCAGAGAAGAACTCCACCATCATCTTCCCTCTGCCGTTAGACATGATGCAGGCCTTCATGCCCAGAAAGTGACACCGTGGTGTGCACTGCGACCCTGAAGAGCTTCTGTATTTGCACTTTCATATACATACATTCATTCATATGCATTTAGCCATAGCTTTTTTTAAAGGATGTTTTCTCCTCTTATTTTACAAAGACAACATTTAATATATGCAATAAATGGTATTTACAGAAATTATCTTATTAAACTGTTTTGATTTTGAATATTAATGTTAAAAGGACAATTTGTAATGGTAATAGAGCCAAGGAGAGTTACTGTAGTGACGGTTGCTGAGGTTACTTTGAGGTCAAACAAAGAATGATTTCAGTGGAGCAGGAGATTTGTTTTGGCGGATGTTCAATATTCCTAATGTGTTCTTGGCTCACATTAAACTAGTTCTGTCTTTAGCTAAAAGTTAGCATTTTTTAGGGTAAATAATAATTAAACATTGTTCGTCCAAATTAAGCCAATAGTTACATCAGTGATTGTAAGTATATTTTAGCTCCCTTCTCACAAAGTTGTCAACTTTTTTAATTTAACCTTTCACTAGCAAGGTTTTTACAAAAAATTTGATCCAAATGTTATATGTTCATGGCTAAACTTAAGTTAATATTGCTTTATTCTTGCCTAGCTTTTTTAGTTTTAGTTGCTTTGGGAAAAAAGTACATATATTTTGTCCATTATTTCAAATTTTAAGGTATAGTTTGATTCATGTTACCACCCTTCGGCTCACCTTTAGCAATATTTGCCACGCTTTGCAATTTGTCTTCATTATTTTTTGAGTTTTCAGCTAAGAAAAATTAGCTGAATGTTTTGCAATACATGGAAAGTATTTCAGCTGAATTGCCTTAACTTTCTTTACGTATATTTTCTAATTTTTGTTATTTACTTTTAGGCCATTTCCCCTTAATTGTTAGTCTTTTTAAAGTCTGCTATCTTTTGGCTAAGAAACCAGATGGCTAATTCCATTTTTAACAACAATTTTAAATCTGTGGATATCCAGGACAGTCTCTTGGATATGTACAGAAGGAAAAACCCTAGAGTTTGAAAAAGGACACATTCTTATTATGATTTAATACATAAATACAAAGTGCAACACAGACAATGTAAATGTTAGTGTCACATGAATGACCACAATGTGTTGAACAGCAACGCTACAGTACAGGTGCAGTTTCAGACATAGATAAAGAATAAATAAAAACAAAAAACAAAACAAAACAATGTACAATACTGTAAATGCATAACCTTAGAAAAACATGCTGTTATATAAACATATCCTGATCCTAACTCCTTCAAATTCTGGAAACAATCTTGAGGACAGATGTAAACAATGTTACGAATAAACAGAAGTAAAGACGGTCACATGGGACATGCTGACTTCTGTTATACAGATGTGAAATGTAAAAATAAGGACACCGTCATGTCCATGGGACACAGAGGCAATCAGTGCAACCAGAAGACCTGATGGAGGCATAGACTTGATAGGGAAAATTAGACGCAGCCATCAGAGGTGAAGCCATGGAAGCAGATGGAGAAGTTGCTCCAGTGCTTCAGAAAAAAAAAAACTATATAAATGGAGGTCAATGGGAACATAAGGCATCATCTCACTCAATATAAAAATCAGCAAACATTTCCTTTAAATTATTATCTCTTAAACAATTAGCAATTGTCAACAATAAACATTTTCTATGACTTCTCTATAGTAGTTCTTCACTTCCCTGTTGTGGCATTCCAGTCATGTGACCACTGAGGCCTGCACCAAGGATGAAACACTGAAAACTGACTTAGAAAGGTTTTGTAGAAGTTAAAAAACAAAAAAACTTAAATCAATTTCTAAAACAAAATTGCCTACAATATTCAGAATATAAAGATGCCAGATTAAGTGGAGTGTTGTTGGCCGTGGGTGATCCCCGGGCATGGAGTGATGTGCCTTTCCTGCCAATCAGACATACGTTTTTCTCTATAGCTATGCTTTATCGTGTAATTCCCACTTAATGGGATCATCATACTGTAATGAGGATGGCCTGAAATGACTAAAAACAGAAAGAATTTTTTTTCTAAAATAGATATTTATGGACCGTATCAAAGTGAGCATCATCGCCCACAGACGGCTGATGACTTGTTAGACCAGTGATCTACTTTTATGGCTGGGATTTATTAGACCATGTGTCCTTTCCACTGTATGAAACACATTTGTTCACATCAGAGTCCTGACTGGAAATGTACATCGTGAATGTCAGACTTCCATCCCTCAAAATACAATCGTATAATACAATCATTCTTATTTAGTTCAGTTGATACAGTGGGTTTCCTGATCATACAATACGCTTCTTGTCTTACATATTCTGTACATCCAAATACTGAAAAACCATGAGAGTGGATGAAATGATGTTTAAAAAAAAGTGATGACAGTCAGCCTTTTTTTTGAAGACTCCTGAGATTTTTCTCCGCACACAAGGTAAACTGGAGGATGAGTACCTGGAGGTCATATTGGTATTTTTTGTTCCAAAAATACTTGATGTTGAGAATAATAGATCTGTTGGATTTAAATGTAAAGAAAAGAAACAGAAACTGTATATTATTATAATAAAATAATAATAACAGATATTTGTAATAACATTAATGATTAGACCAAACCTCAGGTCCACTCAGAGAGCCAATAATTAGACCAAACCTCAGGTCCACTCAGACTTTCCTTTGGTGACCTGGACTCAGAACCCTATACTTCAGGACAACAATGCCTGTAGTGTGGAGTGTGGAGCACATTCGAGCCACTCTTTAACCTGTTCTGGTTTGTTCTGGACATACACTGATGAGCAAATGGACAAAGCTAGGTTGAAGTCTCCAGAACTCTGAAGCCTCAGCTCATCAGTCATCGTACAAATAAAATGATTATTAAAACTGGAAGACAGAACATGCGACAGAGACAGCACTGGATGTCAGTCAGATGAAACGTTAACATGGAGTTAAAGATAAGAAGGCAGCCGACCGTCAACTCCTGAAACAGGAAACTGTTAAAAAGCCCGACACACTAATCCACACTTTAAGAAAAAAAATGTACCGTAGACGACCTACACTGTTGCTGGTGGCAGAGACTGGACAACAAAGGAGCTTCCTGTGTTCTCAGTCAAACTTTCTTGGATGCTGTCTTGTAGGTCCATCATCCTGAGCGCCGAACGAAAACACTGAGAAGATGTTGGCGAAAGGTATGGAAATTACACTTTGTTCCCGCTTGCCAACAAGGATCAGGTCTTTCTTTGCTACAGTTTTCTTTTTCTTTTGAGAACTAGAAGTAGAGGACAGCAAAAAGTCTTGAGGTGCAGTTAATAATACAGTTAAATCATTCCTGGGATCTGTCTTCACTGACGCTGTGTTCCATATAACATCCAATCTATGTTTGCATTGTGTAAAGGCCTACATTTTTAAAAATGACAAAGCAATAGCTCCAGTGTCAGAGTAAAAATAGTAAATCGATACCAGAGCAGGTTTTTAGAGAGCAGTGTTATTGATGGTAGGAGTGTGGGCGAGAAGGGGAGCCTGGTCCAGAAGCGGGACGGTGGAGTGGGGAGGAGGTCGGGGACATGTGAGGACTCAACTCGCCCGTCTGAAGACGCCACATCAGCTCTTCGTTGGTGCGACTCAGACGCTTCTTCTCCTTGCTCTCCATCTCCACATGTACTTGAAGGTTGGCATTTTCTTCAGTGAGTTGTCTGTAGGAGACGAGGAACGAACGCAACGGAATCATTCTCAGTGACTCAGGGATGACGCCAAGTTTATATTCAACAAATATATAACACTTTAGAAATATAACAAAATAGTTTGAAAAGTAGGGTGGTGTATTTGGTTTAATTTGTTTTATTCATTACTCTTTATTATATATATATATAAATATATATATGTGGTGAGAAAAAAATGATAGTCAAAACTGTAGGCATCAATACGATATAATTTGGCCAGAAATTGAATATATTTGTCAAAAAGACAAGAAAAATACTAATATTACTCACTGTTAGCCTAGCAGGAAGGAAAATAAAAAGCAACCATTAGCCTTGGCAAGCACAGTGTTTTAATCAAACATGATTAAAAGATTCAAAAATGCATTTTAATATATAAACAACTAAAGGTTCAAAACAATAAAAAATGTTCAGCTCCTTAATCAAATAGGTTCAGTAATGAAAACAACCGTAACAGTCATAGACGTCAGAGGGAAGATGCTGTGTATCAAACTGACCTGGACACGGCCATGTTCTTGTCTATTCGCTCCTTCAGGTCCTCGTTCTGCTGCTGTAGAACCTGCAGTCTCTCCTCCAAGTGGACGTTCTTTTCAGCCTGCTCAAAAACACAGAGCGGAAGGTGCACAATATAAAAATCTATAATATAAGAATTTCCCCCTAAAATCTGTATTCTACAATACTACAGAGTTCAGCGAATAAATCTAATAAACTGTGCAGCGGCTGCAGTGAAGTTAAGCAGAAATTTGAAACCTACTATTTTTTCCAGCTCGGAAATCTTCAGCTCCTGCTGATGAATTTGTTGGTTCTTCATTTCCAGAACTTCCTTCAGACTCTTCAGATCCTCCTCAATGTGTTTATAAGGTGCCAGTGCATCCTGAGGTGAATTACGAGGGACAGGTAGAAATTTATGAAAGGAAACAACAAAATATGTCAATAAAGTCACACTATAACTGGACAAATGAATGTCTGTGAAAATGATCCGATAATGGTGAATAAAAAAAGGAAAGTTAAAGAAATGACAATGTCAAAGATTATTCTAGTCTATAGAAAATATTAAATTAACAGTCAAGTATATGAAGTGGTGAGTTATATTAATAAATGACAGCTGCACATTTGGTTTCAAAACCATCATGACTTTTAATCCTGCCAATATTTAAATATTATTATTATTATTATTTTTGTTGTTCATATTTTTGGAGATTTTTTGTGGCAGCTGTGGTGGTTGGTGAGTTGAAGATGCAGAGATTTTCATTGTGAGCGACCAGAATGCTTTGGGTTAATGTTGGGATATTTTGGATGTGCTGGGAAGAGGAAAGTCAATAAACTGGACATGGTCATGCAGCTGTTACCACTATCTGCTCGTCGGTGCTCTTGCGTAGAGCCTCCTCGAAACGCTTGGCTCTGTCTCGTAGGCTACGGTTCTGGAACGTCAGTGTGTCTACCTGATCCTGTGAAGGATAAAGCTGTTAGTGTCGTCACATTACTTTTGAGATATTTACGCTGTACATGAATGAAGGTGGAGTGTTGACCTGCAGTGACAGCCTGATCTTTTCAAAGTCTACTTCCAGAGACCTCCTCTGTTGCTCATGGGCCATCTTCAGATCTAACAGGAAGCACACGTGTAACAATTTTAGTGGCAACGGTCGGTTATCAAAAAAAAAAAAAAATCACAAATATATGATCTGAGTCTATGGGACAGCTGGGCTACCAAATTCAAATCATTCATGATTTTCATTAACAATTGGTTAAATCAGTGTTTCTCAACCTTGGAGTTGCTTTCCCACGTGGACCATGGGCCACCTATAATTTCAATGGGGTCAACTGTATTCTTTCACTTTCACAATATAAATATAAATTCACAGAATGTCTCAGGAGTCACCAGAAATCTGTGACATCACTGTGTTGAAGGGTTTAAATAAGCAGCAGCAGTGAAATGATGAAATGATGATGTCACTGATGAAGTTCTTACTCTTCACAGTCCTGGCATGCTCCTCCTGCAGAGTGGACAGAGTGTCACTGTGAACAGACTCCAACTCCATCAGCGACGCCTCGTGGTTCTCATTTATCTCGTCAATCTGTGGGCGACAGTTCCATTTTTTAAACTTCCACAGTTCAAAATCATCAGTTTAAACCACTTAGTCAGGGCGACATCGTCACTTTGTCACCGGCTGTCATGGCAGAAGAGATCAGGATAATGGATCCTGAAAATGAATAAAACAACTGGCCAATCCTGACCACTATCTGGATTTAAAATAAATGAGTCTGGTAATAATAAATGTGCTTAAAAAAACAAATTATACTGGATCAGCTTCTCATACCTGCTCCTGCTGCTGGATTTGTAGCTCCTCCATCTCTGCCTGCTGTTGGTCCTGCAGACTCTCCATCTCAACCATGTGCTGCTCCTTCAGCCGCTCCTCCAGCGCTCCCAGCTCCCTCTGCTGCCGAGCTCGCAGTCCCTGCAACTCCAGCTCAAAGTACCGCTCCAGTTCCTCCTTCTCCCGCTGCAGCTGCTTCCAGTGTGCAGTACTGAAAGCTGGACACAGTGGACGTCAAGCCACACCATCAAATGGGAGTACATGCTAATGCTATCGCTAATTTCAATTCAACGTTAGCTACAAAACTAATTTTAATCTATTTCTGGTCAAACATTGTAGCAGACTTTTGGGTTTTTTAGCTCGTATGGTTGACTTGCAGTCATTTGTTTAATTTTCTGTTGTGTTTTGTCTAACTTGTTGCCATAAAACTTTACAACAAACATCTGTGGTAACTTTTAATCGTACCATTGCTACCTTTCCGAATGATTGTTGTTCTTCAGCTTTCAGAAACGTTCCCCTTTTATAACACACTTACCCACTTCATCCCTGATTTTGGCGAGCTCCAGGGACAGTTCCCTTTCCTTTACAACAGCATTTTCATTCTGAAGAAACAAACAAACAAACAAAAAAATAAACTTTTTAATTGTTTAGATATCCATTTAGACTTCAGAGAGGGAAACACTTATCCTCACCATGAACAGTAATAGTAAAAAAAACCTCTTGGTCCTGTGAGTGTATTATATCTTATGTCTAAGAATATAAAGGTAAAACTCTACAAATTATAAAAGAAGAGAGCAGTTGGTAATTTATTACTGTTAACAAGTTGTACCATGGAACGACACAAAAAACGCAAACAAAATGTTGTTTCCAGGAAAGAACCCTAATCAGATTAACTGTCTTCATCTGGTTTATATCAGATTATAGGAAACTGTCCATGTCAACACAGGACAAGAAAAAGCTTCATCTGATTAGACTGTTGCAGGATCAAACATGTTTCGTTAGAATGATACACAAGACCAAAAACCACGTTCAGTTTGTGAACTCCTTCTGTGTGTGACAGCAGAGGGCGGCCTCCTCCATCTGTATCCCCAGGGGAGCTCTTCATGGTGTGACGTTTTCAGCTTCACACATCACAGTTCAATGACTATTGATCACCAATTCTAAAATGCAGCAGCCTGCCCTGGATTAATGCACGGTAGAAATTCTCCTGGCACTGAAGTGTTTTGTTAGAAGCCATTGAATGCAACACAGCCAGAGAGAAGCAGGTGATGAATGTATGATGTATGAAACAGAGGCAGATACAGTACAGTCTGGACAGAGATGATGTCAGCTCTGAGTGGTCACGCTCTGTACACTGTTAAATCTGCACCACTTTCTTATTTCAGTTTCTCAGGGTTCATAAAAGTCCTCAGCAGCTTTTTTTTTTTTTAAGTCGGTCCTTCAGACTGAACATGTTCACTACAGAAAGCTGTGACTGCAGCACAACTGAACATGTTATTTCCTGTAGCTGAGTTTAAAGGAAACAACCAACGTGTGAGTGTAAAACCTCTCCTGTGCTCACAGGGAGATGACGACAGACAGTGTCAGTGATCAGTCTGTGCTTTGACTCAGCACAATCCTGGAGAGCTTCACTCTCGCCACTGTCTCCCAGACACAAATTCACACACAGCTTTTCTCATCACAGTGCATCAGACACAAACGCACACACAAGCTGTCACATCCACACTGAAAGTCACACATTCATCCACCGATCTCCAGTGCTGCCTCCAGGCCGCACACGCCTTCCTTTACTGTTTGTTCCAGACATTGCAGATGGAGGAGAAGAAGCCTGCAGCAGCAATGGCCCATAAGGCTAGCATTCTGCATCAGCAGCATCAGCAGCACCAGCAGCAGCGGCAGCATCCCTGAGTCGGCCCGGGAGGCAGCAGTAACACATGCAAGTGACAGAACACTGAGCAAGAGGAAGAGAGGGGAAGCAACATGACAGAGGAGGAGAGGAGGAAGAAGAGCAAAGCCTCACCTTGGTCCCTGCTGTTTGACAAACGTAAATCCCTGCTAGAACAAAGACTGTCAGCCTCAGCCTCAGCCTCAGCCTCAGCCCGGCCCTGCCTGCCCACCCCTTTAACTCCCCGCCCCTCTATCAATATCACATCCATACACATGGCAGGAAGATGCACACATGAACTGACACACATAAATATAGGTGGGTGTCTCCAGATAAAAACAAAAACAAAACAAAAAAAAAAAAACAAGAAAGGGTGGAGCAGAGAAAGATGGATATATATTGTCTATCTATAAACAGCCAAGATCCCAAATATATACTGCACATATATCTAATAGATAGATTATGATGTCTATATGGATTAAAAATATTAACGATATTTGGATTTGTAACAGTGATGATCAAACATATGATTAATTTATATATAAATTATATATAAATATATTTATGTATAATTTATGGGTAAGTTTTTATCACTATATTAAATTCACTTAGAGCCACAGACCTTTACAAACTTTAAAGACCAAGTAGTTAATAATAATAATAATAATATTTTTTAAAAGAGCACGTTTGGATAGAAACATGAGCTAATGACAAAATAGACAGTGCAGGTGGCAAATGTTCTACTCACATGTTATAAGACAGAGAACAATGCTGTGGCAAACAGAGACGAGGAAACGTGTGAGAGCAGGGTCAAGGATGAAATGGTGAATACAAAAGAAAGGGTGTGGCTACGAGAGAATTCAGATGAACTGTGAAAGCACAGCTTATTTGGAAAAATAGCAGGAAGCGAACAGTTTTTGGAGAAAAAGAGATAAGAAAACAAGGAGGTGAAGGAAAGAATGATCAAAAAGACTGCAGGCCAATACGAGGAAGTGTGATGACTAGAGATAACACACATGCTGTATTGTCTATGGAGATTCTTAGTCATCCAGGTCATGGTCAAGGTTGAAGAGTTCTTCATTTAAAAACCTCTTCAACCTTCAAATTCTGTATTGTTGCTTTGCCAAGAAATTTACTTCATACTGTAGCTCATTGTTTCCCAAAGACTGGGTCACGGCCCTCAGGTGGTACGCAAAAGATTATTTTTTTTTAGTTGTCTTGGATCATGTTTCCCTGGAGTTTATGAATAATGTCTATTGACTTGTGGTGTGAAGGTGTATGACTTTTAAAATATGGGTCCCCAGAAAAGTTTAGGAAACACTGCTGTAGCTTACTCATAATACACACCTCCACAACACCAAATACTTCATAACCATCTGTAGTGAGAGTAATGAATGGATATTTATTGAGCTTCAGTCACTTTTCTCTGGTGACCTGAGCTGAGGCTCAACCACATCGATGGCTGATATAAAATTATTCATGCTGTGGGTTTTCTTTGGAGACCTTCTTTGTAAGGCATATATGAGCACTGTTGTTGTACTGAACGAAGACCTCTGGTTTGTGACTGTTCTGTGTTTATCTGAAAATTAAATTTACCAAAGGCACAGTGAGTCCAAAGGTGGGCGGAGCTTATTTCATTAGTCTAGACACAAACCGGTGCTGCAGATGGATATCAAGATAACTGTCAGCAAATTACTGGGAAGGGCTGGAAAACAGGCTTTTGATCAACACTTGAGAGACAGAAAACACTGCACACATTCTCAGCAACATTGTCAGCAAAAAGAGTCAGTCAAAGAGACAGGTATGTGTAACCATTAGGAAAACATCGATGAACATCAGGTGTTTGGTTGAAAGGACTTGAACCATCAACCTGATTCACAAGAGTCAGATCCTCTTCTATACAACATAAAAAAAAAGATCAGGCCGAAACCAACACCAGGAATTATCCTGTGTTCTCTTCCTATCATCTTAATGACTGAACAGTTCACCAGCCTGCAGAGAAAGCCAGCGATGAGAACCAGCTCTCTGTCCTACCTTTTTCCAAAAGTGTTGCGTGGTGATGCTGAAAACGTCCAGACACAACGAGGCCTCCTTCATGTGGACCTGAAGGCTCTGGATCTGCAGCGCCTGCTGCTCACAGCGGTCACGCAGCTGCTGGATCACAGCCTTGTCCAGGTCCTGAGGCTTGTCCACCTGAACAGGCCCGTGGACATGTGCTGTTCGTCCACGTACTGGTAGAGACAGAACAAAAGTGGAGGGTTTCGTCAAAGAAATGAATTTGTTTTTTTTATTTCATATACTGTAGGTTTGTATCAACTGTCATTCACACTGCACATGTCATTTAGGAAAACTGGACCTAAATCAACACCAAGATAAATATTACCTCCTAAGTAGATCACACAGCTCGGAGATCATGAGCAAATTAAATAAATAAAATAAAAATAGAATTCCATAGTGTGTAGCATGAACCATATATTGTAAACATGGGATCATATTTTGTCATACAGCTACATGTATTTATTAAGTACCAGAACAAATATATAAATGTATGTATAAAGTATGATCAGTATATATGGTTGAGTACATATTCAGTGTTATCAGTGTAGATCACTTTAGCCTGGTCATTTGAGTAGGAGCTTGATGGTCAAAAAAGTGTGAAAATCCCTGCTGTCCTCCTAATTGGCCACAAGGTGGCGAATTTTCTCTTCACAGCACAAAGTTACTGGTGTGGAGTTTCTCTAGTTTTTATTTTTCTCCTCTGTGGATGTGTGGGTTTCTGCCACACTAATGACACTGCAGATTGAAAATGCGTGAGCGTGAATGGTTGTTTGACCCTGACTGGGGAGCTGTCCGTGGACTATGTGTCCTCGACGGTTGACAACCGTTATATACTCAGAAAGATACTGATTCTTAAAACCTCTCCATTCACTCTCCTTCCTCAGGACATGACCAGGAGCTCAGCTCCAGTCTCGCTGGTCTTTGACCACAGGAGAAAATAATCACTGATGTACTGTTGCTGCAGTAATGTGACCCAGCAGAGTTACCGACACTGGCAGACTGTCTGTGCTAGCATCACAGTTACTGTGGTCTGTTGCTATGGCAACGGCAGACAAAGGCAATGTAATAAAGGTTTGAAGGAGAGAAGGCGAGGAGAGGGGGAGATATAAAATATTTTTATATCTCTCTCCGCAGAGGATGCTGCCCTGACAAATTCATACTGCCTTCACTGGCATCTGACAGAATATAAATTCTCACACACACACACGCACTGCATTGTGATGTGAGGACAACTCACCAGGAGACTGAGGTTTGGGTGAAACCACTGCAAATCTCTTTGGGGAGGACTTTGGTTGTGAATCATTGTCCTTTGTTGTTTCTCTCCTTAAGGCTGTGCAGTGACAGACACAAAAATAGTCTTCATTCAAAAATACAGTTTTTCTCCATTGTTGTTTTTTTAACATATGTTATATACACCTTGAAGACTAGGCAAATAAAATTTTTTTTTTGTCACCAAATCTCAATCAATACTATATCAATGTAAATGGTACAAAACTTGTGGCACTATTGGTACAATTACTAAACCAGCTTGGATACAGATAAAATCCAAAGCAAATGTACTTTACACCTATACATCTGAAATGGAACATACTGTTATTGTATAACATACAATATATACAAATACAAGTCATGAATGGAGAGGCAAAACACTCAACATCGAGACAACCAGTTTAATGTTATGGCCACTTGATGGCGCTGTTCTGGCATTTCTATCGTTCAGTGGCAACATGAAACCACAGTAAGCAAAAAGACGCTGAAAAGGTGTGTTGCAATGTATGCTCTCTTTCACTGATGCAACACCGTGAAACAGTTGAGGTGATCTGTGGTTAGATTTGTAGGTCAATTGTTTATCGTCCCAACATAATTTGATAGAAGAGGTTCCAGTGAATTGTATTTATGTGTTATTTTACTTTAATCTTGACGTGGTATTGGCCCTGAAAGACTTGAGACTGATGAACATCTCTGGTACATACCCACTGGAGAGCTGCGCTGCGGGGCCAGACTACGACGCTGGAGACTGGGGGCGTTTGGAGGCTGGTTCCAGCTCTGACAGCGGG